CTCCCTGATATCATTGAAAAATATTCAGAGAGGGAAGGAATACATCGAAAAACACTTGCTAGATGAATGATACCAACTGGCATTACTCAGAAATATCGAAGGACCGGAAATATTAAAACCTGAAGCTGAATCAACCCTGACCAATTTGAATAATAAAAAAAAAAGAAGCAGGATTATATGGAATCATAATATAGTTGCTGACAGACTTAGATGATTTCATCATAGACAAGAATAGAGACATATTAAATGAAATATACAATTGTGGTGATATACTGGTAGACCTATGTAAATTGATATTCTCAGCACTGCCAAATAGTCAGGCGCAAATGAACATGAACACAATAGGACAGTTAGATTAAGGAGCGATATCACAAAACTTATCTGACGAATAGAAAGTTCAACAGAATCAGAACAGTAGTAAGAGAATAAAACGAAGCGTGCGTTAAAGACACTTGAACTAAGAAGTGACATTTATGCTAAGAATGATACCAAAAACAGCAATCCAAATGCAGATGTATGACAGATTATCGAAAAAAGTTCGATATTCCGTGTTACAAAGAACAGTTGGAACTGCTTAGTAACCATGACATATGTGGCGAGGATATTAGAATAGAACCATCCCGAAGATATACAGGAAGTAAACCTCCTGCATACAAACAGAAAATCAGATCAATAAATAAATAAAAAATAGAAAGAGGTGTAAGACAAGGATGTGTCTTCTCATCAAACCTATTTAATCTATACAGTGAGATGATTTTAAGAGAATTAATAGTCCTACCATGTTTCATTATTGAAGGTCACAATGTTAACAACATTAGATTTACAGATGAGACCTTGTTGAAAGCAGACACGGAAAGAAATCTCTAAGAAATACAACAGAAGTCAGTGAAGGGAAGCGAGACGAAAGAACTAAACATCAATTGCGAGAAGACGAGATGACTTTTTGCTAGCAAATGTATCATCCCAATATGCACATTACAATTTCTCAATCCCAAATGACACAAGTACAATAATTTAAAAATCTTGCAACTGTTTTAACATAGGGCGAAAAATGTTACTATAATCTGAAGGAGCATTGGGATAACGAATGATGCCTTCTAAAAGCTATGTAGATATTAAGAAACAGAAATATTCGTCAGAAACAAAGAAAAGAATACTGGAATCATATGTAATAGCAGTCAACACATATGCCTGTGAAATCTGGAGAATTTCATCATAGATTAAGAAGGGACTAGAAGCAATAGAAATAAGTGTCTACAGAATTTAAGAGCATACCATGGTCCAAACATGTGAGCAACGATGAAGTTTTATTGATCGATCGATATATTGATTCGTTTTATACGGTTCATCACCCCTTTTTTGGTTATTTAAAACCAGAAAAAATGTTTAGATTATGAGAATTTTTTTATAATAATAACTTACTAATACTAGTCGTACTAATTTATCCATAGCTGGGAGAGAAGAGCTGGATTAATAGCTTTCCAAGTGTATGTGCGCGTATGTGAATATAAAGAAAATGACTCGAAATGGAACTCGGACCTCTGATTAACAATTCCGACCTATTATCCATAATATCCCCCGCACATTCATGGTCAAATCACGTGAAATTCTCAAGCGATCAATCATCTAGGTATTGACCAGGGTCGATGTTGCTTTGATTCGATGATGCTACGCGACCTGGTGTTAAAACTTGGTTTGGCCGTAGACTACAAAGTTCTAGAGGGAATCGAAAAAAAAAAATTATACTTATGATCAAGAATAGACAGATGAAATTCATGGGTCGCAATAATGAAGAAAGAGGTGTTGGAAAATTTGATACTCAGAAGATAGATTAAAGACCAGACAGACCTACCTGCTGATACTGAGCCAATTGCATGGCGGAGCAGCGATTGGCAAAGAAGCAGAAATAACTCAATTTAATAAGAGTTAAAAAGGATATGAATTTGTGGAAATCCATGATCGCCAACATCTCGAAAGGACAAAAACAAGGAAAATACGAATATTTTTTTCGTTTTTAAACAAAGTTGATTTGATTTATTACCGTTTGGATATACCTTCTGTTTGAGCTAATATAGACAGCTTAATTTTAGCGGTGATCAAACAAATCCCACTTTTGACGAATTTTATTTGTTAGAAACTGCTTAGAATATATAAAATTTACATTAATTTTAAGTTGATTTGCAATATAATATCTTGAATATTGTTAATGGAATTACTATCCAAATTACTGTTATTAATTTTAGTATCGACACAGATTCAATGAATAACGGGGACATTCTTCAATCAGCCCACATCGCAACGGAATATGACGCAACATCGCAGTTTAATGTGGCTTTTTAGGCATTGTCGTATAATAATTGTTCAAATCTCCTGGACATATTCTCATGATAGAATAGCATCAGGCACCCTGTAATTATTCCACTTCGTAGAAATAATCAAAGATGCCCCCATTCTATCCAACCAGATTGTGAGTTTGGATGAGGTGAGTTTGTTCACCATGCTACCCACAAAAGAGGCACTCTCATTAGTCAGAGACAGATTGGCCTCATCACTAGAAGAACGGACCAGTATTCCAATAGATAATCTGATGGAGATTTTGACTTTCTGTACAAAAACAACACACTTCGGAATGGGATCCACCTATATCAACAGTCTTAGCAATGTGCTCACTATTATCACCAGCAATAACGAATGTATACATATAAATACATTGAGGAAATGGCATTAGAACCTATATATCTAAAGCCAACTCTATGGTTAAGGTATGTAGATAATATCTTCATACTCTGGCCACACTAGGAAAACGTTCAGGTGAACTCAATAAGACCTTCGATACAGTTCACAATGGAGAAAGAGAGTAACAGCACAGTCCCATTACTGGGCGCTCTAATATCTGGATCAGAGAATGGGTGAAAACATCCGTATACCGTAAACCGACATTCACCGGACAGAACGTCATTTTTCACTCCCAGCATTCATACAACTTAAAGAACGGGATCGTCCGCTGCTTACAACACCGAGCTAAAGTCATGTGGCGATCCAGAGACATTAGATAAAGAATTGACCAGTATAAGTAGTATCCTACAAAGTAACAACTACCCTAGGCGGGTACAATAAGACTGCAACACTCAGAAAACAGTCTGCCTGCCTTATGTGAAGAGGTTATCAGAGAAAATACAATGGATCTGCGGTCCATATAACATCAGGACAACCTTCAAAAGCTGGACAACACTTCGCAGATATCTCTCCCGACAAGACCCCCCCCATATAGGAGAACATGACTAAAGACTGCGTGTACGGAAAGTATTATTTAGGGGAGACAGGCCGCCCTCTTACGGTAAAGCTTCAAGAACACCAGCAATCTGTAACACGAGAGGAGGTGGAAAAATCAGGCGTGGACATATGTCCCCATATGTAGAGAAAAGTGAGACCACCACCCTCTGTGGGATCAGGTTGAAATCATCGACAAAAACATCATTGGAAATTTCGTAAACTGAAGGAATTAGCACATATGATAGACCACAAAAATCTCCTGAGCCGACCAAGCATAGAAGTGAATACAATGGGAAAACCAGTAATAAGGAGTGCCAGAGAAAAGCGATAATAAAAACGAAAATTGCAATATGACATCGGATAAAAAAAACATGCAATGATAACAGCAAAAAATGCAATATGAGCACTGGTAAAAAATGATAGCTCAAGACATTAGGTTTATAATAACCAGAAATTCATACGCAAGGGCACATGGCTCAGTGGATAAAGGCGTTAGTTAGATCTAGCGACAGGACCCAAAGAATGTGAGTTCAATACTTGGTTAAAGCAGTGTGGAACTTGAGAAGTGAATTAACAGTAGATAACTGACATCCATTAGACATGACACATGGAACTGGAACAGTCTACGAGCGGGGTTCCTATGATCTAAAGAAGGCAGGAGAGTACAACGGCAGAAACCTAGTGATAAAAGATGAAGACATTAGTCCGAATAATGTAAAAAATGTGTAACATCATATTATATTAAAAGTATTTCAAAATATGGAAATAAAAAATTGCCAATATGAGAAAAGTATACCTGGTATTAATCTATTCAGATATAGCTTCTAATGAATACAAATGGAAAATTACCGTTTATTCTTATAAACATAAGCTGAATTAATATTGCATATGCTTTAAATGTAACCCATGTGTAATTTATTTTGTGATGAGAAAATTAAATCTTCAAATTGAATTTTTCCAAAATGTATATTACATTAATTTTTTTTTTCCATTTAAATATCAAACTTCAATAACACAGCACAAATATTTAAACGAAAAAAAATATTGAAAAATCATTGAAGTTGCGATTAGGAAAACAATTTCAATAATACCGTCGTACATTAATAAAGAAAACACAAATCTACGACACCCACATTTAGATATATTGTTTATTTAACTATGTTTTCTCTAATTTAATATCTACTATTGGGTGTGACTTTTTAGTATATTCTACGAACGTTGCTTTTTCTTCTCTAGACGTTTTTGATTGGTTAGATGTCTGTATTTCTACTTGCTATGGACGTATCCCATATGAGCGCATACTTGACGTCGCTTGGTCGACCAAAATCTTACTTGTCGGAGAAAATTACAGAAACAAACCCTCCGAAGTTCAGACCAGAACTTATTAGATAGAAGGTTATCTCTTAATTCAAGTCGTACTGACGACTTCTTGGACAAGTCCCACATTGATTGTTTTTTGGAACAGTATTTTCTCCCGTGTATTGTTTGGAATTGAGTGAATTTACTGTAAAGTTCGATAAAAAATTTACGTATAAGGCTATCTGGTTGGTTGGTTTTGATTTGCTGCATATCAACATCTTTATCGGTTATTTAATGCTGAAATTTAAATATTTTTACGCAATTTGTGGTTCTTTAAATAATTATTTTAGTAATACAAGTCATACGAATTTACCCACAGCTTGTGAGGGAAAAAAAAGAGACGGATTTATACCTTTCCTACATCCAAGATTACATCACTTGCTATTCCCAAGCGGTCAGTCATCTAGGTACTGATTGAGCAAGACATTGCTTATCTTCGGTGATCGTACTGGAACAGGTCTTTCAACTTAGTGTGGCCGCAAGTCATATTGCTATCTGCAATCTGTTTTGAGTTGCGATTCAACATATAATACGCAACTGAGCACGTCTATATTCTGTCCGTTTTTACTGTCCATTTATTTGAGAACTTTTATGATGTTCGAAAGAATTCATTTTTAAGTCCATTCACTGTTAGGATTATTTAAAAAAGATAAAATATCGAAATTTCCAATCACTCCTAATACAACAAACATTGAAAAGCTGTTCAGAAATTGGAAATACCAATATTTTGGAATGCAGAAAATGCAGATAATGCTGATAAAAGTACAAAATGCTTTTCGACAATCATTTTTTTACATTGTATTCAAAACGTCGACATTGCAATTTCTCTAACTTGCAGCATCGATGATAGTAAGAGACATAATATGTAAAAAGCAACAGTTTTGCTATTAATGAATTATATTTCAGTGCTTAAAAATCACTCCTCGAGGACATATTCATTCTAAAATCTCCAAAACACGTAATAATATTCCTCCGTAATAGGTGCATAAAACGGGCAAAAATAGAGAATGAGTTTATTTACATTGTAAATCAATACATCTTCCCTTATAACAAAAAGACATGAAGAAAAGCAATAGATATTTACACAGAACAGGGCAAACTACTTAGGGAAAATCCATTTTCTAACAAAAATATACTGATGTCGTGGGGTAAATCTTTTGACACAGACCATTTTCGGAAGAAAAATGCTGTAGTTATAGCAACAGCAGCCGAATGGCGACTATATAAACTTCTGCTGCCAACATAAACTCTTCCTCTATTTATTTCCATTCATAAAAAAGACTCCCTACAGTCGACAATGTAAATAATACTTTTCTTGTTTCAAATCTTGACACATGAACTCAGTGGTCAGGGAAGACATATTTTTCCAGAAAGTAAACTTTTATTATTGCATTCTTATTGAATAGATGCCTTATAGACTCTTAGCCTGTTTCGCAATTTTACTTTTATTTTGTATTGATTTCTTGAAAATAAATCGTGTGGGATTGATACATCTTTCCGTGATAAGAATATCATCTTAACAATATTAAAATTAATCTCAAATGCAATTATTCCAAAGAACTGTTAGATTTTTAATTATTTATTAACTAATTTAATCTATTCGGAATCGAAAATGATTAAAACGCTGATGTGGAATAAAGGTAGGAAATAGATATTAACATTCAACACTTACGCATCCAAAAGTGGTTCATTCTTTTGTAAGGTGATTTTTCTACATCAGCTCTTTCGCTTACGGCCAGATCATATTAAAACACCGGTTCTCTTACGATCGCCGGAGTTGAGCAACATCGAGGTTGATTTGGACCTAGACAGGTGACCGTTTAGGAATATTTAGTGCTGTAAACATTGATGTGCAGGTGATGTAATGTATAATGGCATATGATTGGAAAGGAAATTCCATTCATTTTTTTCTATATTCACTTACGTGAAAATAGGCTAGGGAAATGTTTGAATCCGTCTCTTCTCCTTCTGATATGGGTTAATTAATAAAACTTGTATCAGTAATTATTTTCTCCAAAATATTCTTACAATTAAAAAAATATGATTTAAATAACTATGAAAAGGTTGATAAGCTGTAAAAGCAAATCAATCAACTGCTTGATAGAATGCTTAGTCATTCCCATTGCGATACAATACATTTATAACGTGGTCTCCTATGTAAATACTTTATGAACAAAGCTTACTTAAAAACATATTGCAGGCATTAAATTTTAGACTTAATATTTTCAAAGGTTTTCATAAACATATCAACTATTTATTTTCCCTTTAATGGCAACCAGTTCAGTTTTTGGCACTTTCAAATCAAGCGTGCATTATTTAAATAACGACATAATTTTAATTACAAACTTTAGCAATAAAATATTCGCTTATCATGAACTAGTGTAAAAATGAAGATTTGAAATGTATAAAAAAAAACAGTTATTTTAAAGCGATTGTTAAATCCTAATATGCAAATTTAATTAAACTAGGCTAAGATGTAAAACATAATTCTTCCTACTAAATAGCTCATGAATGTAAACGGCAAACATATTAAAATGATATTTATTATTATCATACAATGTATTATTTTTCCCCGACCACAAAATTGTCCGTGTATGACTAGTTAGGACGTACAGTTAAAATTACTTGAAGCGAATGAAGCATGTAGGTCTTAGCGAGTGCCATACTTCTTCGAACCTCGGGGATTGACAAAACTTAATCACACGCAAAGAACTTCATCAAATATTAGAAACCACACTACATGACGACTACAATTGATAACAAATGTACATTGAAGAGAAAATAATGATAATTTTTTTAATCGTGTTAAATCCCAAAAAGGCAGGAAAGCCACTAAGACACAAAGTGGTTACTGGGTGTAAGTTAGAAACAGCAACAGAACAGCGAGAATAGAAGAAGAGCAATCAGGTGGAATGTAGATAGCGATTGACATTGCATTTATAACTTTGTAGATTAAAGTTGACTAGAATGCATGGAGAGGGAATGGAGATCTACAAGCGAGAAGTGCGAGAAAATTAACTGTTAGTATAGAATTTACGGTTACATATACCCAGCTCAACAGTAAGTTGGTGAGACCTCGCCACCAGTCTAGTACTGCGCTTAAATACAAAGAGTCTAGACACCATAGCGAATAGCTCATCCCAACAATAACCATGAAAGTATTTATAGAAAAGTCAAACAAAGGCAACTGAAGTAGTGATCGGTTCAGTAATATTGCTGATTTTTTTTTTTTGATTTTTTTAAGTTTATCAAGCATCAAGCATATAATAGATGTACGGCTTCACAGAGAGTGAAAGTAAGTGTAAAGAGAGAGTGTTTGGCGAAAAGATAAAGGGAAGAACGGGGATTAAGATCAAGATATTAGATGATGCCGATTTACATTACATTTGAAGTTTTGCAGATTATTGTTATTAGGGAAGCAAGTAAGAGGGAAGGAGTTCCACTGTTGGGAAGTGCTTAAAGAAGCTGTTGGAGTAGAACAGGCGGTTACATTTAACTTTTTCCAGAGTCAAAGGTGGAATGGTGAGATGCAAACCTTAGTGTTGCGTTGTGGCAGCAATATTCTCAGCATGTACGAATGGTAAACATATGATATGTAAGATAGTTTCTGGTTAAAAAAAAATCGTCTAGCACAACACATTGAACCAACCTTCATGGCAGATGACCTAGCAATGGATTCAGTATCGTCCGAAAGCTTTAGTCCAAGAAGCCATGATGATAGAGGACAGAGAACGTTCTCTCAGATGATTAATAAAGAATAATTTAGCTGGCATCAACATGTTGATGTTCGACATTATTTTCAACAAAGAAAGTAAGTCTCCATTTATAACTGAAACGGGCGATTACAGGGAACGTGAGAAACCTAACTTCATGAAAAATTGTTTTCACGGTAATATTTGTAACTATCATCTTTTTCATAGTGGCTACAGATGCAGTGAATGCTGAATACTTCCTTATAAAGAAATGACTATTATTACAATTACATTTGTATTTGTGTGGAGTCTCAGATAAATGACAACGTGGAGGTATAATTGTCATATGCATAAATCAGTTTAGCATGATTAAAATAGAAGACAGATTACATCAGCATTCTAGATGTTGCAACTGATTACTTTTTTTTAATTTAAACAATAAACATTAATTAAATTGTTGTTATTATTCCTCAATACCTCAAAAATTGTACATATGAGAAGAGTTATTACTTCATAGAGAAATACAAGCATACTCGGTCGTTTGTATTATGATAGAGAAGTATAAATCTGTATTTCTGCTTAAAAGAAGGTTGTTGAAAGAAACGATCACTGATTGTCAACATTATTTTTATGTGGTGTGTTTTTTTCAGGATGTCGTTGATCAGGGATTTTCACAACATTCTACTATGTATATCATAGTAATATATATCTTTCTCTATCACTCCCATTTCCGTTCTGCCATCCAAGATTGTTATGTAGGTTACTCGATAATTCTCTTCCTTCCTCTTTCATTCAGTATGTCTGTGACTACCAAATTTTCCAAGACCTTATGTGTCCCAAGTAGTATAAATTTCTTTCTTTCTCTCATCTTCTTTAAATATTGCCCTTGTTCCCATATTATTTCCATGGTGTCCTCAGAATTCTTCTGTAGTTCCTTATCTTTGTTGATTTAAGTTTTCCCTTCATCAGTGAGGAGATTATCCAGCATCCACTTATAGGTAGATTGATATTAGGTAGCGGTTCAGCTAAATGAGAAAAGAGTGGGTGTGCATTTGTTGGATTTTCTACAATATATATTAAACGTTACTTATTTTTATGTAAAGCTTTTACTAGCACAGATTTTGTCATATAGACTGATTGTATATAGATTAAATATCACTCTACAAAAACTAGATTAATGAAGTGCATTTATTTTCCAATATGTTCCGCGTGCTATGTATGTCAGTTATTGATCGCTAAACTCTTTTTAAAACAGAAACCACATTACTTGACTACTTTCGACTACAACAACAACTACAATAGATAGCTAATGTAAGTCGAAGAGAAAATAATGATATAATCAAGATGTTGATGTCCGACATTACTTGCATCAAAGGAAGGAAGCCACAATTAATACTGGATTGATCTTTGGCCATTGACGAATCCACATTGTGTGCGTTGACATCATAGAATTTTCGTTTTTAACCCCTACCAATAAAATTAATTTCGTACATCTATAATCATATTCCCAAAGTTTTAGCTAGATACGTCTATTATTTGTATATATTATTGAACACATCGCATGGCAGGATCTCACTGAAATCTATTGTATTACATTTACTTTATACTATTGGTATCTTCCAAATTGCATAAATCGATTTTTCTAACAATAGCATTATATTTATTTTGTTGGAGGATAGATTACAGATCACTTCAGTTTTAAATGCTTCATATAAAACAAATAGGTGCTCAACAAGCACTTCAGTTTACTTAAAAAATGTCCTCTAATTTTTATGAAGGAGATAAATTAA